CCCCCAGGCGCCGGCGCAGGGGGAGGGGGGGGTTCGCGATGGGTGGTCTCAACAACGTCGCAGTTCGGGTGCCGAACACGCCGATGATGGTGGCGGCAGCACCGGGGTCGCTCGGGCAAGACGTCCTGCCTCTTTCCCTTGCCACCCTCACGGCGAAGCCGCTCTACGGGGTGCCGATGCCCATGGCGATGCCAGTGCCGGTGCCATACACCTTTGTGTCGGTGCCGCAGGGCATGCCCGCGCAGCGGTACTATATCACTAGCTGACCCCGGCATCGCCGTGGCGGCCCCTGCCTCGAGGGAGGAGGAGAAGGGCCATGACCTCTTTTCTCGTTTCTTTCCTATCCCCTTTTTCTACCGGCGCGCAAGCGTGTCGATGCTATTATTTTTCATTTCTCATGTCTTCGTTTCATTTTATTTCTTAATGTTTTGTTTTCTTAACATGGGTTGCGTTTTTTTTTCGATTGCTTGCTTTTAACCCACCAACAATGTCAATGAGAGCGGTGGTTCAATGCTGAACAAAGGCACCGATGGCTTATTTTTATGCTATGTTGTTGTTGGTCATTTTATTTTATTTTTAATTGAATTGGCTGCCTTCTGGTAAACAAAATTTTTTATTCTACTAATAAAACTCTATACAAGGAGTTTTATTAGAAAGCTGATAATAACAACAGAAAAACATGTGTGATTCAGATGGCAGATCTTACAAAAGAAGTAAGGATAATTAATAACTTGCGTGGTCGGGAAGAATAATAAGGGCAGGTGCTAAAATCATAAGTGATACTCATAAAATAAATGTGTGGCACAGTTGGAAATATTCAGAGTTATTCATACATACATACATACACACACACTCAAATATATATATATATATATATATATACATATATAAATATATGCCTGTTTATTTATACACCATGAGGAAGTCATCACAGTGATGAGGCTCTATTACAATTGTTGCTATTCATTACCACTTGTAAATATCAAACAAGATGGTCAAGTGTATGCTTATAAGCATCTGGTATTGCATATCATAGATAATTCCTTGCTATGCACTCTAGTAAAATAATATAACACAAAGGTTGAGGCATATATATCTATAAAGGATTTTCTTGAGAATGCATGTGAGCATTCTTTTCCAGCTCTGCTAGCTATTATTAGTATTGAAATAAACTGAAAAATATTGCATAATATTTTTTTGCTGTTTCTAGGGCTCAAATTGTGAATCCTGTCTTTGTTTTGTCGGAAGAGGGTTTGAAATGACTTCATGAAAGTTATTTCAGCCATAAGACTATTTTATCTCGATAAACAGGTATGTGTTTTCATATTCTCCTCCCCTTTTCTCGTACCTTTGGGCTATTATTATTATATAGATTCAGAAATATTAATCCCTTTTTTTTCTGTGACACTCATGCATACTGTTCTTGCGATAAGTTATCACGTGATGGCTGATTGATTGTTTTTTCTTCTTTGCCTGAAAATCTTCTAACGGGCTCTTTATATTCATACACATATATACATGCAGTCTCATTTCTATGCACAAAGGGACCTTCGAGCACCAGTTTTTATTTTCTGCTTTTTTGTATATACATATATATATGTTTGGACATATTTAATGGCTGATTGCCACCCCCATACACACTCTTTCCCTTTGTGTATTTTTTTTATCAACCATGTGATTCCTTTTAATTTTTTTTGTTACCTTTTTTCTTCTACTGGCATTTTCTCCCTTTTTCTTTGTTGTGCTTGTTGTTAATTTTTTCTCTCCAGAAAGTAAGTCTTTTTAATTGTTTAGATTTTAACTATCTTTTATTTGCCATTGGCATTTTTGTTTGTAACTTTTTTTTGGAAATGAAAAGTATTCCTTTTACTTCTTAACTCTTTTTTATAAGTACTTTTACTTTCTTATTTTCCTTGCCTTAAGTGACACCAGGCTTCGACCTGCTCGCTTCCTAGTATCAGAAATGCATAAATAGCAATGATGATGGGCAAACACATAATACGTGAAAAAAAAATACGCACTTTGTACTTGCTGATATGTGCTGTAATTCTCTCTTTCTACTTATAAATTCCAGGAGTGAAACCTAGCACCAATCAAAGTTAGGCACTTAGTATATAATTGAAACCGATTGTTTGCAACCTTCTACGTCCCAACAAACCACAAAAAACACTTTAAGATGGAGGAATAGGGAATGTACATCCGAATTTCTTCTTTCTACTTCATTTCCAATATTGCTTCGGTCAACATCTTCTTGTTGGCCTTGGCTCTGAATTATCTTAGTTGAGTTCTTTCTAATACTTTTTTAAAGATAACTGTATTCCTTTCTTGTTATTGTGGTTTCTTATTTTTCAAGTTTTCCTGGCTCTCACTGAATTCAGTTAATAAGATTCTCTCCATGCAGTGCCTGGTTTCCTATTTCCGAACTACTCTACTTCTCCCCCTTCTTGTATAAATACGGGAGTTAGAGACATATAAACAACTTTACTTTTTCGTGCTAATTTATTTTAGTTTTTTAAATGGAAATACGGGTCATTTGTAATCTACTTTTTAACCACTCGGCATTTTCTAACTAGTCAGAATGATAGTCCTTAATTTTTATTTTTCGGATCTACAACTCTTTAGGTATAACATCATCTAACTTTTACATATCTAATTCGTATTTAATACGGAAAAAGTGCTAATACTGGTTTAATATCACTACTGTGACAAACGGAGCTATATCATGGGTAAGTTTTTAACTCTAAACCTCGATCACCAGTTTTAACTACACCAGTAAATGTACATGCAAGATATGTTGAAGTGAACAAATCCCTTCCTTTCCCCTTCTTTTTTTTTCTAGTATTATTGAGTGTGCTTAAGGTTGAATCTCTTCAGGGAGACCGCGGAGATTCCAAAATTTTGAGAATGTTTTCTGCACCATTCCTATAAAACTTAGTAATCTAATTATGTTAGGTCTTGGGAAGGTACAGGCAGGCCCTGAATGATGGCGGTGTGTTGTAATACCCGTATCACGGTGTACGGTAACTACGCACTAAAATTGCTAGTCCGACTAAAAGAGTTATGTTCATCACCGACGTAATTACGCCATAAATGCTGTAAAACCACAAAAAGGATAGAGGATGGCGTGCAAAGTGCGGACACGTGATACCTTCCTTTTATTTGGAGTTTACCCTTATTCTTTGACGCCTGTGGTGTGTGGGAGACATGTAAAAGGGGGAGAATAGAGAGAACACAAGGTGCACACGTTTGAGGCTTTAGGCCTAATATTATTAGTAAGAAATCATATGATAGATGATCATTTGTTTCGAATAAAATGCAGACAAATACAAAAAGAATTGTCGCATCCTGTAAAAGCATATGTCTTCCGCTTATTTGTTAGTATGATTCATGGTGATTCAGAATTTTTTATCTTATGTGATATGCATGTTTGGATTAAAGGATGATTCAACCTTCTCAAGTTGGGACCTAAACACAGTACAGCTGTGGGTTAACCGTTTACCGAGCTCCTTCGTCTTCCTGCTGCCGTTATGACTTCAATTACTTTCCTTACTTGTCTGAAACACTATCGAAGCAACGAAGAAGTTAGGGCTAGGATTGACCTCTATTGCTTTATTATCCCTTTTTTGGCTTTTTGTTTTTATTTGCGTTGTAGTTTTGCATAAAAGGGGGAAAAATAGGCCATATAACTCTAATACAGCATATTGATTGAAGCATATATATATTTGTATATATATAAACTTAACCAAGAAGTTGATTTGTAACACTGCAATAAGCCTTGATATTTATCACCCTAAGTTCTGGGTAAATTTTTTAGATTTTTATTGGCTCAATATTATCGTTTTTAAAAAAGGACAGAACAAAGCATTCGTCATTTGGTTCTATGCCTAGTAATACGACTCATACAAATTCAAATAGTATGGCAGACTGGCACCACGTGGTAGTGCCATGCGTCGAGGCGAATCG